CCCCCCCCCCCCCCGTACAAACACAACGCCGTTCGTTCTTTGCGTTACCAAGGAGTGCAAGTTGGATGGATGCTCGCTCCCGGTCTACTTCGATTCGGCGAAGAAGCGGGTGCACGACTTCTGCTCGAGGAGACACGCCGACAAGGCCATCGCCGACGGTCAGTGGACACGCTCTACAAGCTCGGGGAATACCAACGCTGGCGGCTCGAAATGCGAGCTACCTGGTTGTCACTTAGGCGTTTCCATCGATTCGGTTTCCAGCCCGGTAAGTTGTTGATCTGTAGCGCCAGGTGCAATACTTCATTTCAAAAGCTTTATGATGCAGCCGTTGCGAACGTTGTACATACGACCTGTGCTTCAGGTCCGTGCACTGCTGTAGACGAGTACACAGTGATGCAATGATGTACATGTTGTGGTAGACATGCTCCCTGCAGATATTGTTTGAGGTGGACGGACGGGTGGACGGCCAACTCCCCTGACAATTACCGTGGATGCGCCACATTTGTTCATGCATTCGGAGATGGAACATCGTACTCAGCCCCGTTGCGGAAGACTTCCACCCGTGCAGTTTTTTGCGACATGTGGAACAGCACTTCACACTTATCAACACGAAGAATGAGTGAAATCATTTGATGACTTGTCTGTTAGTAAAGGCTTACCCCATTAGACTACTAAGTCAGCGCTGACTGAGTAGTCTAATGGGGTAAGCCTTTACTAACAAAAGAAACACTCTCAGCTCGTAGCCACCCGGCTGGTCACTGGGAATTTAGAAGTAGAGATCTCCGGGGACGGACCCCTCGCCAGGCGCTGCAGGAAAAGAACTAAGGGTGCTTGTCAAAGTGACCATCTGGGATTCGAACCCGTGCGTGTATCACTTGTTAGCAAAGGCTTACCCCATTATACTAGTACACCGCGCCCGACACCCCCAAACAGAACGCCATTGCCGAGAGCGCCATCTGGCGTGCGATGAAGGGGGGCCACGCCGCGCGACGCCACATCCTCTCCATGCCCCACGTCGACCTCGCCTCCGTCCCCAACATCGGCGCCAACGGACAACGCCTGTGGCTCTCGTCGGCGCTCTGGGCATCCGGTTGTTTCAACCGCTCCGCGACGAAGGCCAATCAGGGCTGGATGTCGCCGTTCGAGGCCTTCTTCGGCCGGAAGCCGCCCCTCACCGTCGTCCCCTTTTTCCAGGAGGGTAGGATGCGCGTGAAGCGGGCCACCAAGGCGGACGTCCAATCCGCGAGGTGCTTCTACCTGCACGGCGCCAACAACCACTCGACGTCTACCGCCGTCGTTCTCCGCGCTGACACCGGTCGCCTCGCCCTCACCAACAACGTCGTGTGGGTCAACCGCCGGGCAGGAGCGCCGGCGCCGGTGCCGGCCATCGGGGGGGGTTCTTCGGTCACCGCGGCGCCCTCGCCGGCCGCCGCCGTACCTGCGGCCGCTGCCGCACCGCCGCCGCCCCCGCCAGCGATCACCTACACGTACACTTCGCATGCCCCAACGACTACGGCAGCGCCGCCCGCTTCCCCGTCGATCTTCACAGGATCTTCAGCGCCGTCACCGATCTCCGTCGCACCATCCTCAGCCCCGCCGTCGACCGCAGCCATGCCACCCCGTTCGCCGCCAGGCCTGACGCCGCCGCCGCAGCCCGCCAACGCCGCCACCCCCGCTCCTTCGCACCCGCCGCTGACATCGCGCGCCTTCAGGGAGTTGGGAGGATCGAAAGAATGGCGTGGGGCAGCTGGAAGGGTTCACGGCGCCCAGAACGACGGCGGTAGCCGTCGAGTGGTTGTTGTCGCCGTGCAAGTAGAAGCAACGCATGGATTGGACGTCCGCTTTGATGGCGCGCTTGACCCGCATCATCCCCTCCTGGAAAAAAGGGACGACGTTGAGCGGCGGCTTCCTGCCGAAGAAGGCCTCGAACGGCGACATCCAGCCCTGATTGGCCTTCGTCGCGGAGCGGTTGAAACAACCGGATGCCCAGAGCGCCGACGAGAGCCACAGGCGTTGTCCGTTGGCGCCGATGTTGGGGACGGAGGCGAGGTCGACGTGGGGCATGGAGAGGATGTGGCGTCGCGCGGCGTGGCCCCCCTTCATCGCACGCCAGATGGCGCTCTCGGCGACGGCGTTTTGTTTGGGGGTGT